ATTAGGCCCTTAGGTTCATCACCATCACACACTTGAAATGGTAACGCATCGATATATATATAGGAAGAATTCTGGTACTAACCCAGGCGGTCTCACGATACGCAAATTATAAACATTTGTGGATGTTATGAACCCATGTTAATAATCTATTTCTTTAGAAAATGTTGTACCAGCCTGCGGGATTTGAATACTGACATAATCGCACGGTAGGGACAATGCGTAAAATATTCTATTCAAATAAAAAGTCTTTGAGAAAAAAAACTTTGTGTGAAAATAATACAATTCTTGTAATGAATTCGATTTGTCGGATTGTCGCGTTTGATTTGCTCTCATGACGTCATCGTAAGTTACTTGCTCGGATTAGATCGTCGATGAAATGAGATTGTTTTTATGTAATTCGTTTGAGTCGTAAATTTTCTCTGATTTTAATTATTATTGTTTAGTTTTTGCTATCGGCCGTAGTGTTAGAGGTTGTCAAAGGTCATAGGTACCAAAAGCATGCCCCTAACTTGAGACACGAGCCGTAGCTCTGGTATGAGGTTTCTTTATCTATACATATAAATAAAATTGGTATGTCTGTTTGTAATATTGAAATAGCCACTTTTTACTACATGCTTATGAATATATGTATATACGGTACATACACCAAAATAACAACTTTTGTCTGTCTGTCTGTTTGTTTGTTCCGGCTAATCTCTGGAACTGTTGGACCGATTTTGACGGGACTTTCCGTCAAATAGGATAGGTAGCCGATGATATAAGGAGTATCTTAAGCTACTTTTTTTAGACTAGCTTTGCCTCGCGGCGTCACCCGCGGTACGACAATAATCGCGGTTACATCGCGGGACTCAGCTATCAATAATAAAATTGAATGTTTCCGAAGCGAAGCGAGGGCGGGTCGCCAGTAAAGAATATAATATAAAAATTTTATTTTTTCAGATTTCGTCAATCAAGTCTCGTTGATGGATTCCCAGACGTCTACTATGGAAATGAAGCTATTCAAAAAAGAGGAATTTCTCATCTCACTTGGCCGGTAAGCAAAGGGCTGATTCAAGATTGGGATGAGATGGAGAAGCTTTGGCATCATATTTTCTATAAAGGCCTACTTATACCTCCAGAAGCTTGCAGTGTCGTGCACTCGATCCATCCTTTGTGCCCAAGGAAGCACCAGTGAGTCGCTAGTCGATAATTGATAGTAGTGATAGATAGACATGTCATGTACTCGGAACATCAAAGTGAAACTTGACCGTGCTCATCACATAGACCTTCATACTTCAATGGCTCATCAACGATAAAGTTGACAAGCTCTGACTTGACGGATGAGAAATTAATGCTTGTCATTAGATTTCAATATACAAATTTGTCATCAAAAGGTAATCATCGATTCCCGGAATGTTAGATTAACGCAAATGCATGTTTATGTCTTTACAAATTTTCACTTTACATTATTTGCATTTTCACTTTACATTATTTGCATTTTCACTTTACATTATTTGCATTTTCACTTTACATTATTTGCATTTTCACTTTACATTATTTGCATTTTCACTTTACATTATTTGCATTTTCACTTTACATTATTTGCATTTTCACTTTACATTATTTGCATTTTCACTTTACATTATTTGCATTTTCACTTTACATTATTTGCATTTTCACTTTACATTATTTGCATTTTCACTTTACATTATTTGCATTTTCACTTTACATTATTTGCATTTTCACTTTACATTATTTGCATTTTCACTTTACATTATTTGCATTTTCACTTTACATTATTTGCATTTTCACTTTACATTATTTGCATCGAAATAATGTTTGTTGCCTTTGTAGTATTCAGTTTAATCTCTCGTTCTTATTTTGTTTATATTATATCCGTAGTTTTGAATCCGTAGTTTTCGTTGTTATCCCAAGTCAGAAATTGCCTTTTATGCCAAATACGGTTTTTTTGACATGACAATATAATAATGTCACCCTAATATCGTCACTAGTATCATCAACAAATTGCTTTTTATGCGTATTTTATTAGTTATTAAACTACATTTATTTTAATATTTTTTTATTGCCCTTGTAGGCAGACGAGTATACGGCCATCTGGTGGTGAGTTGTTACCGTCGCCCATAGACTTCAGCAATATCAGGGGCAGAGCCAAACCATTGCCTACCGAAATTATATAATATTTAACTTTAACCTTTTATTTGCAAACAGAACCAATAGTTTTGAGATGGCGTTTTAAAGTGTCAACTTCTCTAATAAAATAGGGCACTTTTATTTCAAAGGGCTTGTGAATGAAAATATACGTACGCAGTTAATGTATTTTTAAGTAGATAATTAACTATTTTTCAGAGAAAAAATAACAGAAATACTCTTCGAATCGTTCACAATCAACTCTCTGTACTTGGCAAGGATGCAGGCTTTAGCTCTGTTTGCGAGCGGCCGGACTACGGGAGTTGTTTGGGAAAGCGGGTACTCATGCTCATACGCAGCCCCAGTTTTTGAAGGGTTTCCCTTAAGGAATGCCACGTTCATGTCACCGGTCGACGGAGAAACTTTATCTGGACATTTACAAAAATTACTGGCGACTGTAGGCTATTCTTTCACAACTAAAGCGGACAATGACATTTTGGATCAAATTAAGGTATCGTATTTATGTTATTCTTCAATAGTTCGTGTTAAGATCAAAATTACGTTTATTATTGTTAGATTTTTACTTAAAGTGTGTAGTTTTAAATCAATTTTGAAAATTTCTGAAGAAAAGCAATTATTGTTCGATTCGAATTCCTATTTTCCTTGTAATTTTTCAATAATGTCTGCTCGTGGTTGTCGAAACATTTTTTCGTAGCCTGTCTTATAATAAACACCTGTAATCCAATTTCGCTCGCTTCTCTTAAATATCGTAACAAAAAGTCTGTTGCCTGGGGCTATGAATTTTTGATTGAGCTATGAATAAAATTAACGTTTTAGAATAAGATTTTGATAAAGGTATTTATTTTTAAATTAGGAACTGGTGGTAGGACCTCTTGTGAGTCCGCACGGGTGGGTACTACCACCCTGCTTATTGCTGCCGTGAAGCAGTAATGCGTTTCGGTTTGAAGGGTGGGGCAGCCGTTGTAACTATACTTAAGATCTTAGAACTTATATCTCAAGGTGGGTGGCGCATTTACGTCCTAAATGTCTATGGGCTCTAGTAACCACTTAACACCAGGTGGGCTGAGAGCCCGTCCACTCATCTAAGCAATGATAAAAAAAAATAGGGTAGGTCGAATTAAATGTAAGCTAGTCCCAGATACATTATTATATTTTCAGTCTGATAAATGCTACGTGGCGTTAGACTACGATGATGAAGTGGAATCGGGAAAGTGCTCTGGAGATGATAAACACGTTTACACGTTACCGGATGGACAGGAAATATTTTTAGGGCCAGAACGTTTTCAATGTCCAGAGTTGATGTTCCGGCCGAATCTGGGTGGGCTCCAATGTCCGAGTTTGGTGGATTTGTTATGCAAAAGTATCGAGAATTGTGATTTGGATTACCAGCGTGCTTTCTACGAGAATGTTGTGATTGCTGGTGGATCCACTATGTTTCCTGGAATTGTGGATCGGCTACAATTAGAACTGACGAAGAAGTTGTTGAAACGCTCGGAGAATTGGAAGGTTCTCGTCGACGCCATGACAACTAGGCAGTTTGCTGTATGGAACGGTGGATCCATTATGGCCTCTCTGAGTACTATGAACGGTTTTTTGTTGAGTAAAGAAGAATACGAAGATAACGGATCTGACAGAGTCAAGCATCTATTTTTTTGATAATAAAATTGGCTTAGAAACCAATTTTGTTTCTTTTATTTCATTATCATAGGTAATAATAGTAGCGTGACGTAATTCTTTGGTACAAATGTTTCAAATTCGAATATTGAAGTATCATTTCTGTTCAAAATAAAATCTATTATAATTTATTTTTATTGCCCTTGTAAGCTGGCGGGCATACGGCCCACCTGATGGTGAGTGGTTACCGTCGCCCATGGACTTCAGCAATGCCAGGGGCAGAACCAAGCCGCTGCCTACCGCTTAATACTCTCCACAAGCCTCGTTTTTTTAACCACTGGTCACGTTCTCCACAATTTAAGATTAATAATATTCTAGTAATCGACCTTCTGATCGGAGTTTACTAAGTAGGTTTACTAGTCTAAGAGAGACTACCTAATTTCAATAAACAAAAATTCCTAATTCCCGATAGTATGTTTTTGGAAAAGGAACTTGGTATTTTCTTCGGATTTTGCGGGTCTTAGACTACTTTTACGGTTTAGTGTCGCGTTTTGTACTGTTTATATAATATTGTTTATGACAGTTCGAATAATTTATAGTTGTCGTGGTCTTGGATGACTTAGCTGTTATTCGTCGTTACTTGCCTTTTGTGCGGACTACCCTCTTGGAATACTACTTGGAAATAATATTATGATAATAAAATTGGAGATTAAACCGTAAAAATCACTACCTTTATATAATTTTAATTACTTTCACTTTAATCAGAAATCGGATCGAATAGGAGCAGATTTTTTTTTGTTGCTTAGGTGGGTTAGACGAGCTCACAGCCCATATGGTGTTACGTAGTTACTGGATCCCATAGACATCTGCAACGTAAATGCGCCACCCACCTTGCGATATCACTTCTAAGGTCTCAGTATAGTTACAACGGCTGCACCGCCCTTCAAACCAAAACGCATCCTGCTTCACGGCAGAAATAGGAGCGGGGTGGTTGTACCTACCCGTGCGGACTCACAAGAGGTCTTGCCACCAGTAATCAAATATAGCAGATCAAATATAAAAAGTAATTAAAAAGGTTTTGTTATGGATATAATCAACATTTTTATTGCCTAAACGATTGACTTTATCTTTCAAAAAACGACAATGAATTATGTAATTCGACATTGACACTTTAATAATATTTGAGCATAGACCTATATAGTATACTTCAGTGTTTTTGAGTACAAGATCCCTATATTATGTCTTTTGAAAAACCAGCAGTCGTAATAGATAATGGTAGCTATAACATAAAAGCTGGTTTCGCTTGTGACAATCACCCTGTGTCCATATTCAGAACTGTCGTTGGAAGGCCCGACTATCTACACGGGAGCTATGGGAGACAGTCATATGACGTGTATATTGGTGAGTATTCAAGTGCTAATTATGGCTTACTGCCCTATATGGGTTTCATACAACAAGAGTATATTATGATATTCAAACTTAACCACACTTTGACAATCGTTCATAGAGAAAATTACGTTCACAAAATTGTTTCTATTACCACTCCATATTTTTATGGTATGGCGCTTACCTGCGCGTGTCACAATTGACTCTATTACCAGTAATTTAGTGTATATTTTTTATGTAGATCGATTTTATTATACAATGCTATTACATGCATTTAGAAGAAGTATTAAATACACAATTAATTAGTATATGGGTACTTGCCTGTCCGCTATGTAATTTATATAATATATCTCCGGATTATCTAGTTCTAGTTTCTAGAAACAATCTAGTTTCGATTGGATCTGTACTTTTACGATAAACGTTTAGGGGATGACGCGGTCTCCAAGATCGAAGACTTAGAGCTGAACAAGCCAGTGGAGAAAGGCAGAATTGTTCATTGGGATAACATGGAGCGCATCTGGCATCATGTGTTCTATAAGGAGTTGAAGGTGGCACCCGAGGATAGAGCCGTGGTACTGGCCTGTACAACCACATCACCAATGGAGGAAAAGTAATTTTTATTATTTTCTATTTGTTCTGCAGTTTGGTAGTTAAGTAAGCCTTGGATTACCGAATCTAAATTGTTCAAAAAGACTAAATATAATGACGTAAGCATGAAGCGTTTGAGCTAGGTATATTATTATATGTATATTAGGTATATTATTATTATGATAATAATCTCAGGAGTACAAGACGGCAGACAAGAAACAAAGAACTTCAGACTGCATAACATAACAAATAAATATCTTACCAGGCCATGAATGGAAACGTAAGTTTTGGTCGCGTGGGACAGCCGCTATAATATGACAATTCTTCATTTTTCAAACAAATCGCTGTTTCTAAGTTCCACTGAAAGTGGGCCAAATGCCAATATGCTGCCAAAAATCTAATGATTTTTAGGGTCAATATACCAAAGCTTCTTTATATTATATTTATACCAATAACTACAAATACTAGTTAGACTATTTTGCGAATTCTCATAGTTACTGAGTAAATAAATTTGGGTTTATAACGAACCTTCTCCGCAAATAATGTTTGGGAGTCGTTCACACCTATAGGATGTTTGAGTTATCTCCGATACATCAACGTTGTGTCCGCAAATTATTTTAGTTACATTACTATTCCTGAGGCAACGGCCATATCAATTCTAAGTTGCGCAGCCGAGACAAAGGGCTGGCCTGGACCCAAACAAAGAGCACTCGTCCATCCCTATTAAATTACAGCAAGCAGGGCTATAAATACGAGATATCAACATAGGGCCGACCCTGCGGAGGCCTCACGCCCTCTGAATAGTAATCAGATGAAGAAAAAACACTTGCTATATTTCACGGATCAATTTCGTTCCTGCCATTGTGTAGGTCAGATACGTTGGTACGTTCAATTGAGTGTTGTTTACTCGCCGGGGCTTTCATTAAGAAACCAAGTTTATACTATATAAGATAGTGTATTGCCTGAACAATAGAAAAGCGCGCTTAATAAAACCATCTAAAAGTATACTAGGTACTGGCAATTTGAATGTATTGTATACACTGGATCTTGTTTTTTGATTAAAAACTCGGAAACCCGAGTGATGTCAATGATCCTTGACTAATAAGCACCGAAAACTCAAGTTGGTTTTCTGTAAGCGTTTGATCTGGTTGGAGCTGAGGATCTACCTCAGCAGAGCGTACAGTAGTCTTAACATGTAACCAAGATTTTCAGTGGTATTAGAAAGGATGACGGTGTCCACCGATTGCACACACCCACTCCAGTCTTTTTCTTTTTTTCTTTGTCGTATCACTCTTGTTAGAGTGGTCGTGGTTGTCAGTGAGTATGATTATCGTGGGCAGATGTTATGTGCCTCACGCGTAGTATCTCCCAATATCCAATATCTCCACTTTTCAAGAACTCGGCAGTAGCGATTGCATACTATATATTCAGAAACAATACATATTGTGGTTCTGGATTAAACACCTTTGGCTAATGATGGTTGCCATCGACGAAAGCGCCATCTACCAATTCAATAAACGTCATACGTCAAACCACATTTACAGCAAAAACGTCATTCTATGTCATTTGTGTCACTTCATTCATATTATTCATAACTTTCGAACGTAACGAACTAACAGCTTTTTTGTAAGATCGAGGGTATACGAAATTATACACCTTTTTTGTAAAATCGAAAATATACGAAATTATACAGTAAAACGAATTCTCTTTTGGATATCCTCCGTTCCTGCGTCTACACTATATTTTTTTGGACATATCTACCGACGAGGAAATGACTCCATAGAGCGCCTTGTCGTTCAGGGTAAAGTAGAAGGCACCAGACCACGTGGAAGGTTGCCCATACGATGGACTGACCAAGTCAAGTCGGCAGTTGGTGATTGCATAAATGAGTGTATCAGGCTCACTACGAACTGGGAGAAGACTTTTTGTAAACCAATAATAATAGGTTTTAAAAATGTTTACGACATTTAGGAATCGCTTGTGAACGCACTTAGTTACATATTTTCTTAGAGAACTTTATTAGTGCCCTCTTAAACTTTATAGCTAAAGCTACAAATGTCATGCAAAATGAATACACCGCGCTATCCGTTAGAAAAAAAATATTTATATCTACGATTTTATAATACTTTCATAGCTTCTGATAAAATAATTTTTAAATAAAAGAGTATTTATTTAGTTTCCGGCATTGCTGAAGTCCATGGGCGACGGTAACCACTCACCATCAGGTGGGCCGTAAGCCCGTCTGCCTACAAAGGCAATAAAAAAAAAAAAAAAAGCAGTATGGCCTTCAAGAATCAGTTTCCGCGTGAGTCGAGTGTAATAACTGGAGTGGTAAATGATCTCAAGTGTCACTACTGTTAGTAGCTGCCCTGTGAAAATTCAAGGACGCATCTACAATTTTGAGTTTCAAATTGTGAGCGGCTCCGTTGAATATCTTACTTCGGTGCACGTCATTTTGAAGCTTAATGAGCAGATAAAACAGATTTATTAACGTCTTTAAGCATAAAATATTCTGATTAAGGAACCAAAATAATTTAATCTTTAAGGGATCCGCCCTACGAAATCGCCCAATGCTCAAGGAAAATGACGCGAAATGTTCAAGGAAATTTGGACACAAACATATTCTATTTATTTACTATCAAATGAAGCGTGAAGTGGGGTTATTTGAACTTAAAAGCGATTTTCTCGGTCTCTAATAACATGTTATGGAAATAAAATGTAACTAAAAAATAATATTGATCAGGACAATTATTTTGATATCCTTTGTGGATGTTAAAATGAACAAAAATTTTGTTATCAGTTTTTCAAAATCTTGTTTCAGGATCAAATGCTGTGAGATCTTTTTTGAGACATTAAATGTCCCAGCTTTGTGTATCCAGCCACAGGCCGTTTTGGCCGTCTACGGCTCTGGTTACACGACTGGGATTTCCGTGGACCTTGGATATGATACTACCGAAGTGACTCCAGTATATCAGGGGGGCAGGATTGAGTACGCTCACACTGAAACGCGTTTGGCTGGCTCTCAGGTGTCTGAGTATTTGAAGTTGCAATTAGAAGAACGAGGCATCGATTTAGGTGTGAATACTGCAACGGTGATCGAGAATATTAAAAGGGACTGTCTTTACGTGACCAAAGACGCTTCGATGTCTCGAAGTGATTACGAGAAGTACCACAGAACTGCAGATGGAGATATGGTTCACGTTTGTCGGGAAGCGTTCCTGGCTGCAGAATTGATCTTCCAGCCCGATCTGGTGATGGGTCAGAAGACTGATTTCCTTCCTTTGCCGGACGCAGTGGTGAACGCTGCGCTTGTCTGCGATGCGGAGCTGAGACCGGATTTGTATGACGCTATTGTACTTTGTGGTGGATTAGCGATGATTCCAGGTAAGTTATTTCTCTGTGTTATTTTTTAGTATGTGAAATTTCTCTCTAGTATCTGATTTGTCAAGTCATCGATGGTTTTTTTTATATAACTAGAATAACTAAGAGACATAATAGACATAATAGACTTAACTAGAATAATTTTTTTTTTATATAACTAGGGGATAATTATATTAGAAAGATGAATATTCTTACAAAATCTGAAAGTTTTATTTTGATGAATTGAATTTTGATTTTGATTTTTTAGAAAAAAAGATTAATCAATAAAACTTCAACTTAAAAGTGTTACGCCTATAAATATTCGCGATATGTCTATACCTATTCACGTCTGATGTTATATATATTAATACTTTATATGATTTTCAGGTTTACAAGAGAGATTAGCAATGGAAGTGGAGAACCTAACTCAAACACCAGTTAACGTCATAGGATCTCCTGAAGCATACGCCGTAGCTTGGCTTGGCGGCGCCACTTTCGCTGGTCTCCCAGACGCCAAGAAAATGTGGGTCACGAAAAAGCAGTTCGAGGAATATGGCGAGAAAATTGTCAGGAACAAATTCCTGTGATTAAAAGATTACTTAAATGAGATAAAACATACTGTTTATTGCAATTGAATTTATTGGTTCCTGTTATTTTATTGGTAAAAACTGAGACCTAAGAACTCATGTCTCGAGCTGGGTGGCGGCATTTACGTTGTAGTCTTAACACCAGGTGGGTCGGAACCTAGTCCACCCATCTAAGCAATAAAAAAATTTGGTATATACCCCTATACATACCACTTGCCACCAGCCCCCAAGTCCATAAATCTGAGATCTGGATCCTGTGAATAGCATCGCTATTCTTAAGGCATAAGCTACATATTTTTGTTGTATTTTGTGTTATTGCTGTTAATATAAATATAATACTACACTTGACATAACAACTTGACGAATGCATAAACGTTAGAAACCTTTTTTAAACCTTCTTATATATTTATTTAGAGGGAGACCTTTGATCATGTAGCGGGATACCACAGTTGTATTATTATAATAATAGAACTGTTTTACTTTTCACTCACCCGTGACTCATGTTTTCTTTGTAGTACGAAGAGTACTACCAAATAGAATAGTCTAACCGTGAAGATACCAGATAGCGTTTATGTATAAGTTTGAATCTTATTCTTAAGTTCACTACGTTTTGTTAGCATTACACTGTTCCTGTTAAATTGAAATTCCAATCATGTCCTTGAAATGCAATCATAATCTTGTAGCAAATGGAATCTTGATGACGTCGTGCACTAGGTTCGTTATCCGGTTGAATTATTCATGGTATAACCGGATGGAGTTCGCTTGTATAGCCGGCGTCGTCACCGCCCGGTAATAACCTATGCATTTGCTCTGTTTGATCTAGATTGGACTCGTCCGTCGGTAGCCTGATAACAATCGTTCAACATCAATAGTTGTTGTTCTCTGATAATAATTAGCAATACCAAGTAAGTTATTAATTCACTGTCAATTGCCAATTCATATGTCACAAGCGAGTCTCCGTAATAATGTAGTTTTGGGAAATAATTACCAATAACTACCAGAATAATTAAAAAACTGTACTTGTATTTTCTTTTTTTATTTCTTTATTTACAACCAGGAGTATGCGGTATAAAATGTTTTTTTTAAATTTGTTCGAAGTTGTTTTAATTACTGAAAATACTTTTAAAATAATTAGATTTTAATACACTATTATATTACGTGTCTTTTGGAATTTACGCATAGCATGTAGTGGACTAAATAATTGCAGTTCATTTTATCGTTTAGTTTACGAATCTTTATATTTTAATTTGTTAAGTATCAGCTTTTCTATCTCCTTCTTTCTTTAGAAACGTTTCAACATGGCTATTTATTTTATTAAATATATCTAAAATATCCTCAGTGGCTTCATATTTAAGTAAACTTTTGAAGTCAACATTCATGTCTTGGATGATTACCTAAAATTTTTATAAATTAACACAAAATTTTTTTGGATAATTAGTCTCAGAGAACGAAGAGAGTACATAAATATCATAAATACTTCAAATACCAAACTTATAAATCGACGTCATATTCATAGACTACACACTTCACTGGCAACACTGGCCTGACAAATGGTCAGTCATCAGGCTAATATCCGGTAGTCTGGCAACCCTCCGGCCATAAAATAAAAGTTGAAGGGTCGTATAGGTCCCTTTCCTTTTGTCCACTATAGTGGAAAAAGTTCTTTAGAAGACCGGAATTTTGGACGCCGGTTTATTATGAAAGTAAACTTTTGTGTGTAGTTTCTCGCTTGCATTTTGTCTTTGAGGTGAACTATACTGCAAACAGAGTCTTAAACTGGATCTATACGTATATTTGGTCAAAAATCAGGGATGTCCGGTTTCAGTTTTTATTTTTTTTCGTTTCATTCTTATTGTCATCTGGTTTTCGTTGCGAGACCCAAGATAAATTAGCGTACCCTCGAAAATAATGAAACTCATTGTTCGAAGACCTTATAGTACCGCCGCTAAGGACCATGGATACACATGTGTTATAGTGCGGGACCTGATTGGCGGGCAAATACTTCAAAAGGTATAAATAGGAATACACAACATTGTGGTACTTTAAAAAAAACACCAATAAATCTATGGTAATGTTTCGTGTACAACAACCAACGGGATTAAGTTTACCGGATTCCATAATTTGTAGTACGAAGGGCCGGATTAAAAGTATATTTATAGCTTTAGGGAAGACACTGAGTCCTCAATCCGACTCAGTTCTTTGGAATTAATTCAGTGATACTTTTAAAATTAATTGCTAAGATATTTCTTCTGTCTAAACGTATAATCTATATCTAAAGAAAATAATATATAGGTATGTCGGTGCAAAATCAATATTCAGTTAATTAATAATAGTTAAGGTTAACTGTCTTCTCAATGTTACGTATGTCAACTGTCTAAGACAGCATTCAAGAGAATTCATAATTAAGCTACCCCCACTTTCTACTGTAAATACGGGTGACTATTGTCACACAAAGCATTCCGACCCGAGTAGCTGACCACAGCGGAGCTCTCTGTTTTATAGTTGTGCACTTGAAATGCAACAAATGGAATTCATTGGAAAAGTGAGTCTTAACTACTGTCATTATGGAAGCCAATGATAAGGAGAATGGCATCAGCGACGCTGACGTCATCATTTTAAAAACAATTGAATGGATCAATCCGTCATACTCGTATAATTATAATACTTCATGTGAGTAGACAAGTTCACAGCAAACCTAATGTTGAGTTGTTACTGGGGTCCATAGAAGTCAATTGGTATCCATCTAGCGATGTGAGCTCGAAAATTTCTGTTTTAAGTGTGTTCTCCCGTCTTAACCGCGTGTGCCGACAATACGCTTCGCGGACAGTAATTATGCAAATTTATAAATATTATCATGTAGTTGTATACACTCATCATAGAAGCGTGGCTTGGCTCCTTTAGAAAAATTGCAGTGCTTGAGCTCCAATATAATCACGTTGCTAATCAAGAAGGTACGCTACGAAAAGGAATAGCCTTAAACATTATTTCAAATTTGTTCAGTAAAGAGTTCTCTTTGGTATTTGAATTCGGTTAAAATTTGCGTTATAATAAATTATTAATGAAATAAGTACAGTCAATATTAACTCATCTTTATTCAATTTGACCTTTAACGTTCAATTAATGTTCAAACGTTCTTAAGAAATCGTTTAAATTGAAAAATTGAAATATGCGGTGTGAAAACTTTTATAAAGAAAATATTTTCCAATAACTTGCCGTCACGAGAGGGTATTGTGTCGTCGGCTTAGGTAGAGCGCTCGGTAGAAATGCAGTTTTTGTGATTTTGATTATTCCGCTATGTCTAGAGACGGCTCTATCATCGCGAAAGAATTTGAATAAGCTGTACGGGAAAGAATGCCTCAACGTACGGCAAATACGTATTCAAAGCTTTTTCAGTCTTAATATTTACACATACGTTCTCAAATTAAAAATGTATTTATAATTAATGCCACAGTAAGACTTGGACTTAAATTTGGAAGCAAAAAATCGATTGGCTATGATTTAATCCATGGTTATCTTATGATGCAGTTTTAGTTGCTTTTATATGCTAGGCAATCACATTAAACCGGCAGCAAATTCCCGTGCCGAAAGCGTTTATACTCTATCAGCGACAGTCAAGGTGCTTAAAATATATGAAAATATTTTTCGTAAGAAAAAAATAGAAGACGTGATAAATTGAGGCTGATAAATGCGATGGGTTTATTATGGTAATGTTATTCTGCGTTCATTTATTTCTTCGACTTGTCTTAGTACTCGCTTCTTTATAAGTAAATGTTCGAACTTAATAATTTCACCTTTGGTATTGACCGACTTCGGAAAAGAATCCGTCATTTACGTTAAAAAGCATTTGTTGTCCCGAATTTATGTTTCGAATAAATGATAACGTTTGAATTGCTTTGAGGCAATTTACTCTGAAGTCAATGTCTGTCACGTTTTTTACGACTTTCCTAAAAATGTGATTATTGATTTCATAATTCGTACAAATTACTATAATAATGCTATGGATATTATAGAATTTAGATATTGTAGGTGCTAATGGTAGGACATCTTGTGAGTCCACACGGGTAGGTACCGGTGTGGTGAATGGTTTTTATGACAGTTGACAAAATATTTCCTAAACCACCTCCCTGCCTATTTTTGCCGTGAAGCAGTAATGCGTTTCGGCTTGAAGAGTAGGGCAGCCGTTGTAGCTATACTCGAGACCTTAGAACTTATATCTCAAGGTGGGTGGCGCATGATATCTATGGATGGATATCTATGGGCTTCAGTAACCACTTAACACCAGGTGGGCTGTGAGCTCGTCCACACATCTAAGTAATAAAAAAAATGTTTTTAGAGTGAAAAACACATGCATATACATAAATTTGAATAACAACACGCTTATACAACTTTAAAAAAAATCACAATCATTATTAAAGAAGTGGATCTCTACGGCTTTAAGCTTAAACTTAATTTACTTCAGTAAATGAGTTAATAGTTAATCATGTAATAAAATAATATATTCTGTGTAATTATATTATACTATGGTAATAAAATATTTTAATTTAATTATATTATAATATTTTGGTTAAATTTATTATCTATAAATTAATACGTGAAGCAAAAACTTTGTATCCCTTTTTAGAAAAATCGTGCGGACGGAGGAGTATGAAATTTCCCACACTTATAGAGAATATAGAGAAGGAGTGCACAATGCTAATATTTTTTTACAATTATGCATAAAAAATACATTAAATTAATAGAAAAAACATTACGCACACTATCATGTATTTGACACACACACGCATAGGTACTGTTTTGTTTATTGTTTAATTTCTGTGGTCAAATTGAGAGTAGATTAGTATTGTTTGTCTTTAATATTATTTGTTTATAGTGTAGTCTTGATGACATCTGTGATTATAGAATTATAATAGTTTTTGTCAATAGAACCATAATAATGTTCAAAGTTATAGTTTAAATTAGTAATTACAGTCGAATTTCGACTACTGGGGAACCACTACTTT